TTTTTTTGAGATATATATTTTTGTCATATTGCTAAAAAAAAAGAAGAGAGAAAATATGGTTTCTATTTTTGTTTTTTTTCTTCTCGTTCAGTCTGTTATATTAGAATAAGTGAATGCTATTATGATAACAGCAGCACTACACAAAACGGATTTTTAAATAAAATTATTTACGTATTAACCACCTGCATCGCATGGCATCTAAGTCATTATATATAAGTAGGTATGTCAGCGTGCGTCATCGTAATCGTTAATGATGTTGATCATAATAGAAATAACATCATATAAACAAGCAATATGTCCTAAAGAAATTCATATTCACTTATCGTTCTTTTCATTATTTTTCACTTGTACTTTCCTGATGTCCGTACATTCAGATTTACACTTACACATATATACTCCGAATGTCTAAATTTAAAGTATAAATATTATGAAAACAAGAAGTAAACAACTTTCGTTATCATGAAAAATATATATAATAATAATTTTAATTAATATTTGATGAAAGAAAAATTCTTTCAATGATTCAATAAATCTAAGTTATAATATTTATTATAATAATAAACGTCATACTTCTAGATAAATATTCAACAAAACAAAAGCTTTGACGTTAGATATGTATGTGAATCATGTTTTTTAGTTAGGTAATAATATTTTCTGTATATTAGTATTATGATTGTATATCAGTACTATAGTTTTTGCTCTATTGTATAATACCTTGCAGACAGAATAATGTGTCACATTGTTTATCTAGAAAGACTATTCATTATTTGTTTGATGTCAAAACCAAACAAATTCTTAATGTACGATTAAATTATTTTTCAAGATTTTTGCGATAGGAACATTGAAGACTACGTCGAATTTTTGAATATTTTTTTATGCAACACAATTGATCATAGTTTTACCTATTTTTGTAAAACAAACATGAATGTCAGAAGAAAAAATCAGAAAAGGTTTCTTAAATAATTAATACAATTCATGAGCTTTGACAACTTATAAAGTACAATTTAGTTGACATCTCCTTATTTTTCATAAATCTACGAAAAGAAACAAATATCAAGATGCAGTTTTCTCTATAACATTACGGGAAGTAATACAACTCGTCAGTTTTTGAAACATCATGTCTATTCCAGAAAATAAACGCGACTCCTTCACAATACGTAATCATACAAACAAAGTATTGTAAGGTCCTACCAACAACATAATGCATTGCTATAGTTTGTACTATGTTCTTGACTAGCTGTATAAATTTTCAAGTACTTTAGTTTACTATGTTGCAATAAAATTTGGACACACATCGATTCATTCCCATAGGAATGGTGGTATACTCTTTCGCTAAGCCTATTGTACAGCACTGATACGTGCCAAAAATGACTAACGGATTAACATCTGATATCTTCTGATAAATGATTATTTTTCTCTTTGATGCGCTTTACTTACTATGTTATGTAATAAGGTATTCTAAGAGAAAGATTTTTATTAATTTAAAGCGAGTAGAAAATGTTAGAAACAGACCATGAGTTTGCAAAAATAAATATTGGAAGAATAATGTCGATCGATATAATAGATTAGCAGTATATAACTTTCTTTTGATACGATTTGTAAATGTATTATATTAATTTCGCAAATAAAATTAATCAATAACAAATCAAAGATAAGAGTACATTGTGTACTTTCAACATAATGCTTGTTTGATAGCTGTATACATCATTCCGAAACATAACATTCAATAATATTTCTTAAGACTTCTCTATTAGAAAGAAAATAATAACGCCGTATGCGAAATTGTATTTTTATGTCTTGCGAATCAATAATTATAAATCTGATAATAATGAATTTCTTTTGTACAGAAAACAACAAACTGAACTAATATCAAAATTGGAGAAATATTCTTTGGCCAATTTCAAAATTCATTGAAATATATCTCTCTATTGGTTAGAAATATTCCCTATTCATTATTGGTATTAATTTCATATAACATAAATCAAAGACATATATAATTACTAACTAAAATGTGAAGATTATGACATGATTACTGAAAATAAGTTTCAATATTTCTTTACAAATGTTTACATCAGACATGAAATACATTTTTTATCGATTCTTTCATGGTAATTTTTTTTCAAATTGTTAGTTGTATGAAATAAGTTATTATAAATATATATATATATAGTTTGCTTGCTTATTTTTATTTGTTTATTGTTTGTGTAGCGTAGATTACAAAAGAAGGAAAGATAAATCGACTGATAGACAGGTTTTTTTTTATTTTATTGACATATAAAGCCAAACAACAAAAAGAAAGAAAAGATGAGAAAAGATAATTGTATGTTTCTTTAATATGTCTTTGCAGAAAAAAAATAATATCGAATAATAAAAAATTGTTCCGATTATTTAACTACGTGATAAACCATGTTTTTTCGCTGCAGCTAACGCTTTTTTATCAAATTCGGCTTTATTTGCTGTATATTCATTGGCAATTTCTTAAATAGAATAAATAAATAAATAAAAATAAATTTTAATAGAAATATTCGCAACTTACCAGGACTAAGTGCATGATCAATTTTAGGACTATCGATAAGGTCAGCAACAGCTTTAACAACATCAACTAATGATGTTGTTGGTTTCCATGTTTCACTTGCATTAAGTAAATCAACACATATTTTACCTTGCTCATCGACATTTGGATGATATATAGGTGTAACAAAACGAACTTCAGGTGGTTTAAATGGAAATTCAGCAGGTAATTTAACTTCAATTTGATAAGCATATTGATTATAATTACTTGATGAGGGTAATATTCGGCCTAGGATTATATTTTGAGCTGAATTACCTGCGCCTCCTCGAGATGCTCCTGATGGATCATCTATTGGAGATTTATCAAGAAGAAATTTCACTGATGAACCATCAGTATTAGCTGATAATGCTTTAAGTTTTGTTATTTCAGTTATTAAACGTTTATTTGCACCGGATGGTGTCGACATTTTTTCTTTTTAAATTTTTATTTAAATAAAAATCTGAAGTAAAAAAATTATTTTTATATTGACTATCCGCCATTTTTCATGTTCAACTATTTTTATTTTTAATATAGATGTCTACATAGACGTGAAGAACAACAACAAG